TTTTTTTGTTTTGTTTTTTGCTAGTACCATGTTGATTTTATCACAGTAGATTTGTTATATAATTTCAAGGCAGGGATTGTGATGCCTTCAGCCTTGCTTTTGTTGGCCAAAATTGAGTTTTCTAGTTTAGGTCTGTTTTAATTTAGAAATATTTCAGAAATACTTTAGAAATATATACACACATCTTCTGACCTTAGAATTGTTTGGCTTCACATTGATTGAAAAGCAATCCAGATTCATTAGGAACTGGTTTTTCAGATCTTAAACTTTGATCATTTCCAGGCTATCAGCATGTGGCGCCACACTGTGCATATTGCCTCTCCTTAGCAGCAGCCAAATTCTTTCTGTCTGTTGTGAGTTGTTGGCCGACAGTTTATTACCTTTTTTCCAGTGTTCTGATACAGGATCCTGGGCTCAGTAGGATTTGTGTACTTCTCCTGTGCTGAGATACCCCATGCTTCTGTCCTGAAGCAGTGGAGTGTTACCTGGTTGCTGGAGTACCAAAATTTTCTAGTCCCTGCATTGCTTCTGCCCCTCCTGCGGGGGTGAGAAGTGAAGAAATTTGTTCTCCTTCACCCATTTAAGGCTTTGCTTCATATGGCAAAAGGACCCAGGAAAGTTCATGGCATGCCATGCCTGTCCCCCAGCAGCTGCCAGCTACCTGCTCCATAGTGTTCTTATTGTGAGTGCTGCTGTCTCTGGACTCTGGCTACCCTACTGTCTTTGGTGGACCCAGGGGAAAGAAGAATGTGGAGAAAAGCTTATGAGAATATGTAAACTCTTCTTGGATTGGAAGTTCCCAGTTATTCCAAACCAACAGTCTTGCCCACTTTCAAACTGTAGGAATTCAGAGTTTCTATGTTCCATCTATCCTCAGAGGGGCTTGAATTCAGTTCATTTGGTTGTTAGGTTCAAGACAGTTCATAACTTTATTGATTATTTAGTGTTTTATAACAAAAATGACATCATCTTGCAGCTACCTTTATTCTGCCAAGAAATGTAATGCCAGCCTGTACCCTTAAGTGATAGCCTGTCAAATAAACCTAAGATTTTATATGTATCCTTAAAGGCTTATACTATTAACTGTCCTTTTAGAGCAGTTAACAGTGGTACACAGCTACAAGTTTAGCCACTTGGGAAGGTTGTATGGGAAAATCACAAGTTCAAAATTAGCCTGGGGAGGGCTAGCCAGATAGCTCAGCAGATTAAAGCACCTGCTTAGGCAGACACGGGCTGGGGTTCTATCCCTGGGCCTGCCCTGTCGATTCCACCCACTGGGGTGTGCTGAGAAGGTTATTGAGACTGGTTATGGTAGTGCATACCTATAATCTCAGCACTTGGGAGGCTATAAACAGGAGGATCACCACAAGTCTGATCTGCAAAATGAGATCCTGTAGACCCTGTAGTAAATACATTAAAATAAAAAATTAGCCTGGGAACTTAGTGAGACCATGACTTAGAGTAAAAGTAAAAAAGCCTGAGGATATAACCCTGGGTTCAGTCATCAGGACTATAACAAACACAAACAATAATCACACTCTCATTTTTTTTTATTTCCATCAGACAATGAATAGTCTTGATGTCAAAAGTAATTTAAGCCTTAAGCCTACATTAATCATTAACAATTTATGTTCTTGATACAAATATACTCCATTTTCCTACTTGTATGAAATAGCAGATGTAGTTATAGATATTGAGAGAGACTCTATCTAGGTATCAGAAATACATATATCTACCTTCTCTTTTTCTTACCCTTACCAGTCATGAGATGAGATAGCCACCTTCTTTGATCATTATCAGTACTCTACTCAAAGACAGATACTTTCTCTAAAAAATAAACTTAAAAATTTACTATGAGAGAATTAAATGAAGAACAAGCATGGGGAATGCTGGACTCATTCTGCAGCTGCCCAGGGCACTGGTACTGGATTTGTGGAGGTTAGCAAGGCTCTTGATACCTCCATGCAGTAGAACACAAAGGTACATGACCACAAGGGGAGATCATTGAGTGACTCTCCAGCTTAGCCATGAAAAGCCATGCCTGCTGTGCCTCCTACAGACTCTGCTTTGTACCTGTCACTGATGAATGTTCTCCTTGAGTGCCACCAATATGTCTTCTAGACCCTATTATCATTTTGGGGTGAAGAACTTGAAAGGTTGTAATTCAAGACACTTATAAAAATAGGAGGTACAGCTGTCAAAACTTTTGAATCACGTGCTCAATTATACATTTCTGTTTCAGGATGTCTTTACTGTAAGTGTTGGAAACTTACCCCCTCAAGCCACGGTTCTCATGAAAATTACCTACATCACAGAACTCAGCATTCAAGGCCCTGTTGCTGTCTTCTTCATGCCTGCTACTGTGGCACCCTGGCAACAGGATAAGGCTTTGAATGAAAACCTTCAGGTTTGTGTGCTTAAGAGGTAAAGGGGCATTTATGGGCATAGCTCAATGACAGAACATTTGTCCAGCATGTCGGAGACCCCAGCATTTGACTCCCAGCACTGCAAAAACAAAACAAAATGAAAGAAAAAAAAACATCTAGAACAATCTTCTTGGTATCAGAATCACTGATTTGTTCGCTTAGATACATGCAGTGTTTATAGAATCAAAATAAACAGATATGCTTAACGAAAATAATATTTTTCTTTTCCATAACATAAAACGTTTTTGTATCTGCACTTTAATATGTTCATATCAAAGAATTAGATAAGCACAGATAGTGAAAATAAGCCAAAAGAGGAAAATTTAAAAACCATGTTAAATCTGTATCGCCCAGAGAAGGAATGATCCTGGTGTGAGTTGTGGCTATAAGACCTGTGAAGTCATGGGCAAATTGAGACCATCTGTCTTGGTGCTGCTGGCTCTGTGAAACATAGTAAATACTCTGTCATACACACTTTTTTGTCTTAACAGGATACCATAGAAAAGATTTGCATAAAGGACATAGGAGCAAAGCAAAGGTTAGTACTTAAAATGTAAAATGTGGTACTCATCCGGTGGATGTTAGTTTTGTGGTTTAAATTTTCATTTCAGAATTATTTGAAGAACATGGGAGACTAGTTTCCTAACATCTTTGATGCCCTAGGTTTGTTACTCAGCGCTATTTTTTTTTTTTTTTCGTCAAACAACTATACTTAGAAAAGTTAAGGTATTAGACTTAAAACAATTTTCTCTTGATTTTTGGTAGCTTCTCCTTGACTCTGTCTATTGAGATGCCCTACGTGATTAACTTCATTTCCAGTGATACACATGAATTGAAACAGAAGGTCAGTGAAACTTTGATTTCTTCAGAGCCCTTACTGTAGCATTAATTTTATTGTATCAAAGAACAGAAGTTGGTCATGGTGTATCTGCCTATAATCCCAGCTACTCAGGAGGGTGAGGCAAAGTGACCATTTTTATTTGCTTGATTTCTAGCCAATTTCTTCTATATTCTAATACATCAGTAAAATTCCTTTCAGTGCTATTTTTCATATTTGAGATAAATGCCACCAATGATCTACTTACTGTATTGTTTCTGTAACTTCCCTACCTCCCTGCACCTGCTCCTGCTCCCACTCCAGCCTCCCTTTTGTATTCCTCTTATGGGAGCCTTTTATCCCCCAACTCCACTTTTGTTTTTCTTGTCGTGCTTGAGATTGAACCCAAGCCCTCACACAGGCTAGACAAGTGCTCTGCCCCTGAGCTATACTTCTAGCACTATCTCCCCTTTTCCTTATGTTCTTTCCTCAGTTTGACAGCACATCCTCCACCAGCTTCCTGGGTATGTGGTTGTGGAAGTGCCTAGAAATTTCTTTATTTGCTGTGTACGCTTGACCCTCTGGGGAAATGAGAAGTCCTCAGTTAGAAATCACCTTCTCCTGGAATTCTGGAGGCATTATTCTCCAGCTTCCAGCATTACTTTTTGGAAGTTTAGGGATGTTTTGTTTGCCTTCCTATTTGTGTGTGGTTTGTTCTAATTTTTAAAATTGTGTAAGAATTTCATATCTCTTCTTCATCCCTGAGATTCTGAAATTTTTTATTAATGTGGTGTTTATTCATTGCACTTAATTTGTGGCCATTACTTCTTGAAAATTTTATTTTTTTTTTAAATAAGTTGTGCCAGCTGGGCACAGTGATATGCACCTGTAGTCCTAGCTATTCACCAGGCTAAAGTAGAGCTCAGGAATTTGAGGGCAGCCTAGGCATTACAGTAAAATTCTCTTATTTGGTTTTTATTGTTTGTCTTTTGATGGGGGACTTGAACCTAAGATCTTACATATGCTAGACAAGAACATGACCACTCAGCTGTCCTCTCAGCCCCATCTCTTTCATTCAGTCAGTCAGCCAGTTAACCAGTCAAATGGCTTATTCCTCTCTTACTTTTCTGCAATACCTTCTAATAAGTATACCCTGGAGTAAGACCCATGTCCTAAATTTTCCCACCTATTGCTTATTTTCTTATCTTTTTCTCTACTTTCTTAAGTATTTTCTTAGAATTCCAACTATTCCATAGAAATTTTTACTTCAATTCTCTTGAAGTGGTTGCCCACCCCATGTGAATGCTAGGGATTAAACTCAGGGTCTTGGTACTGGATTACATTCTCAGTGCTTTTATATTTTTATTTCTGAGACTTACTCTTTTTTTTTAAATTTATTTATTACATTTATTTATTGTGTGTGTGTGTGTGTGTGTGTGTGTGGCCAGCTCAGCCCACCAGGGGGCGGGGCTGGCTGGCATGTGGTACTAGGGGATCGAACCGTGGTCCCTGTGCCTTGCCAAGCTTGCTCCAAGTAGGTGCTTTAGACCACCAAGCCATCTCTCCAGCCCGAGACTTACTCTTACTAAGTTGCATGAGCTTGGCTCAAACTTGGATTCTCTTTCCTTGGCATCCCAAAATAGCAGTGTTACCAAGCATGCAGCACCAAACCTGACTGGCTGCTATGTTGTACTTATTGGAGTTCTTGCCTGTTCTTTCTTTTTCACAATACCCTTATGTAGGTGCTGTGTCACATGGATATGCTATCTGTTTTCATCTTTTGTTTGTTCATCCTTTGTTTTTCTTTGTTTTAGACAGGCTCTCATTATGTAACTCATGCTGGTCTTAAATTCATGATAATCCTAATGCCTCAGCCTCCCAAGTGCTGGGATTACAGGTGTCTGCCACAATGCCTGGCTTGGAAACATTTTAAGTATAGTTTTTCGTCTGTTTCCTATGTCTCTTCTTTTTTCCTCTTTTGCCATTTTGTCTGTAGTCCCATATTTTATGTCACAGAGGAGTCCCCCAAATGTGTGGTGATGCTCCCTGTGGACACATGCTAACTCTATGGTTTGGGTAGGGGTGATTTAGGAGTCCATGTCATGGGATTCCAGCTTGTTTTTATCCTCCTGTGGTAAGCAGCACTCCTGTATAGACATGCTTCATTAGGCCAGCATTCTGTACTTTGGGTTCTGTTTGACTGAATTTCTTTATGTCGTAATCTTCAGTTTCCTTTTAGTGAGAAATTAACAGTTAAAGATGCTTGTACAGTGAATAACCACTAAGACAACAATATGCAAGGTATTAATTATTGAAACTGTCCTACTAATCGGTTTTGAAACTGTCTCATTGCTATTTGTTTCTCAATAAAATTTTTTTTAAAAAAAGATGACATTACAGACTACCATGTTGTCTTCATTGTTTTAAAGCTTGTTATTTACAGTTTCACTTTTTTTTTTTTTTTTTTGTGAAAGTTAAGTCTCCCAAAAGTTACAATTCTAGAATTTGTATTGAATGTTTCATTTTACCATTCCAGGGTCTGTGGCATATTGTGATAAATCTAACTAAATACACAAATTGTTAATGTTTAGGTTCATATTTTAACATGTCTCAAGCTGACCTAAATTTGACTATGTTATGTCAACCTTAGAATTTTAGGAGAAAACTGTATGAATAATGATTATACGTCTGAAGGTACTATTTCATGATCTTGGAATATATTACTATTAAATTAATATTACTACTATTAATGTAACTATTAATTAGAATATATTCCTATTAATGAAGTTATTTAAGGTACACAAAGCTTTGCTAGTTGCAGGTAAGTGCAAATTGATGCTATGGTAGTATTTCATTACTTACTTTGTTGTGTGGCTGTTTGCTTTGTAGCGCACAGACTGCAAAGCTGTAATTAGCACCACAGAAGGCAGCTTCTTAGACACCAATGGATTCTCTCTCCACATTGGTTTGTATGATGCATATCTCCCAAGAATGTGGGTTGAAAAACATCCAGAGAAACAAAGTGAGGTATACTCTTTCTTTCTTTTTCTTTCTTTATTTCTTTCTTTCTTTCTTTCTTTCTTTCTTTCTTAGAAGTATGAGAATGCTTCAGAATAACTATAAGCTTGGAAATTGTTGATAGTCCTGAAAAGCTGGCATTATCTAGTGAGCTCTGACTCTTCAAGATTCCTCTGTGAAAAATATTTCTTTCAGGAATGACGGACTGTCATGCCTTGCTTCACGATAGCCCACCCTACACTGTAGGATATATTTTCATTTTCCTTTCCTTTTTACTTGGTCCAAACTTGCTCTGCAGTCCCTGTTCTTCTCCACTCTTCTGTCTTTTTCCTACCTTAATAAATGTGAAACTCAGGGCCAGTGAGATAGCTCAGCGATCTAAGTGCCTGCTTAGTGCAGGGACTGGGATTTGATTCCAGGACTACAGGCTTTGCCAGCCCCACCCCTGGGTGCACTGAGCCGGCCACAGAGTTAAATCACGGTGGCACACACCTGTAATCCCAGTGCCGCAGACACTGAAAACAGGAGGATCACTACAGTGATAAATACATTAAATAAATGTGAAATTGCTACAATTAAAAAAAACTTCCCAAGTTGTGTTGGGCATGGTGGTGCCTGTTTGTAATCTCAGTATTTATGAAGCTGATGCAGGAGGATCACTGAGTTTGAGGCCACCCTGAACTATACACATTAGGGAGATACTGTCTCAGAAAAACAAATGAATGAGGATGTAACTCAGTGATATGCCCAAGCTCTGAGTTTACTCAATGCTCACTACCACTGGGGGTGGGTGGGAGGAATGACAAACTTCTGAAGCTTTAGTGAAAAGCTATATGTAGCCTATTTCCCTACATAAAGATAATAGTTTTTACCTTAATATCCTCCAAAAAGAGATTTTGCCACCAGGTAATAATCTGTAATGGCTGTTAGTATGTATACTTCTTAAATAGTAGAAAAATTATAAGACCACTTAATGTGGCTGTAACAAAGGATGGCTTTTTTTTTTATTTTAGTTTGTACAATATGCGGAGTTCCGGCCGACAAACCCTGACGGATGAATGACAAATGCATGAGATAGGATGTTTTTGAGGGTCAGAAGACACTACTGAAATGGGGCCTGTGAACTAACTCAAACTCCTATAACAAAGGCATAGTATTCTGCTGAACACAGAGGTTTATTTTAGGTAGCAAGGCCTATTGACAATTTGGCTGAATAATTAACTTTTATCCAAGTGTCACCCTAAGGCGCTTCCTTTTCTTTCCTCTTTAAAGCCCATCTCTGCTGGAGTTGTGACAAAATATTAAGTCTTTAAGACGTTTCAGCTCTTTGGAGTTAGCAATCTTCTGCCTACCTCAGTCAACCCAAGTAGACATTGACTGGTCTATCAAGGAACTCCACAACAATACTGATAATAAACCATGGGGCTTTTGCACTGACTTGTATTCCAATCCCTTTATTTTAGTGATAGGGTCTTCCTAAATTGCCCACACTGAGCTCAAACATAGGATCCTTCTGCCTCCACTTCCCATAGTGTTGGGATTACAAGTGTATACCACTATGATGGGCTAGAATTGCCCATTCTTCAGTTAGAATGAAAAACTGAAACCTTTCTGCTAATTATATTTTCAGTATAGTGGTTAATTAAGAAGTACCTGTGTGTCTTAGTAATTAGAGTAACATCTATATTTTTATTTTTATTTTATTTATTTTAAGGCAGGGTATCCCTATACAGCTCAAGCCAGCTTTAAATTCACTTTGTAGTCCAGGCTGGCCTTGAAATTGATCAAGGAAATCTTCCTCCCTCAGCCTCCCAAGTGCTGTAATTACAGGCTTGTGCCATCATGCCCAACCATTTTTTCTTTAAAAAAAATTTATTCACTATTTTATTCTTTATATGCACTACTACATTGACTTGTCATTAAACAAGTCTTGTTTTTCTTTTATACCATTAGTTTACCTTACAATAAATTTTTAGAATTTCATAAGTAGCTGTTTTCCAGATTGAGTTACAAGAAGCTTTGACCAAGGACCTTTTTTTCCTTTTAGGCTTGTATGCTGGTCTTTCAGCCTGATCTTGATGCCACTCTTTCAGGCCCCGCAAACAGGAATGAAGTAGTTATTTGCCTTGATTGCTCCAATTCCATGGAGGGTGTAACATTCATACAAGCCAAGCAAATTGCTCTGTATGCACTGTCCTTGGTAGGGGAGGAACACAAAGTAAATATTGTCCAGTTTGGCACAGGTGAGTACCCGTCATCCTCATGTGTACTTTCTTCCTTAACTCAAGCACAGGCTGTACTGACTGAGGACTGTTGGTGCCTGACTTCGAGTGTGGAGTCAGGTAACTAAACAAGAGGCTGAAGCACAAGAGCTCTGAGGCCAAGGGTGGGGTGTTCAGTGGGAGAGGCCAAGGGTGGGGTGTTCAGTGGGAGAGGCCAAGGGTGGGGTGTTCAGTGGGAGAGCACTTGGCTGGCATACATGCTGAATTCTGTCCCATAGAGGAGGGGAAGAAAATCCTCTGGAGCCAGATCCCCTGGTCCAGATCCCACCTGTCATCTTGAGCAAGCTGCTGAACTTGATACCTTTGACTCCTCATCTGCAGTTTTGAGACACTAGTCCCACTTCGTAGTTGTGGCGAGGTCTGAGCTAATGCATAGAAAGATTTTAAAATAAGGCTCCTTCCATAGTAGTAGAAACACAACTGTTACTACTGTTACTACCAACTCAACCAAATGCAGGATCCTTCGTCTGCTGTGTCGGAAGTTCCCAGGAATGAGGGCAGACATGTTCAAACAGCAAACAGAGAAAACTTGCGAGGAACAGTCTTTGGGAGTGAGAAAGAAGGAGACCCCACCTTCCAGCTGAGGGCCCATGGGCTTCTCAGTAACGTGACATTTCAAGAATGAGAAAAGCATAAAGTGGAGCAAAGGGATAAGTCTGTCCTGTGAGTCTCCTATTCTATGCAGTCTTGCAAAGGCTCTTTATGGTGGAGCAAGGGTCTACTCTTTAGGGGAAGGGCCAAGATAGATAAGGGGATGAAGAGAGAAAGGACACTGGTGGCGAACCTATGGCCCACATACTGTTTATCTTTGAAGATAAAAGGTTTAATATATAATGAGTTGTTTTTCCTAAACTAAAACCTCGGGATTCAGGTGTAATTGCACTATTGGTACTTTGCAATAAATAAAAGGGTTTTAGATATCAGTTTGAGCATTCTCTGCCTCAAAAGGTTCGCCATTACTGCCTTAGGGGCTGAACTGCCCATGCTGCCACAATATCTCTTCACCTTGCTTTGCAAGGTGATGTAGTGATTCCCCACATGGAACATTTTGCATAGTAAAACATGTAACTCAGATACCCTGAAATGAATTATTTAGAGGTGAGTTTTTGTATGTTAAAATGATTACACAGTTTTTTGAAAAGTATGTACATAAATATATAGCATTCTTTATAGTGGTTACAATGGTATGAAGTAGCATTATTATTGCCTCATAGTCATCCAGTGAATGTTTAATGGAATACCTCATGCCAATCTTATCATACAGGTTACAAGGAGTTATTTTCCTATCCTAAGCACATCACATGCAGCAGTGTGGCAACAGAGTTCATTAAGGTAAGAGAACCATCTCTATTCCCAGAGGGTTTTCTATGCTATGGGTGTGTTATCTTTCTAATACTGTAACAAATACCTAAGGGGAAAGATTTGTTATGGCTAATGGTGGCAGTATGGTATGTTGGCCCCATTGCTCTGGTTCTGTGGCAGTACAGTATGTCATGGTGGAATGGGCATATTTACTTCATGGTGACAAGGGGCCTGGGTCCCATATGCCCATTAAGAACACAACCTCTGTGGTTACCATCTTTCCAGTAGCCGTCCCTCCCAGGGGTTCCACCTACAATAGCACTTTAGAGTGGTGACCAAGCTTTCAGCACATGGGCCTCAGGGACACTTATCCAATTTTAGTGTATGTGCTGACAAAGTGAGCACAGGGACACTTATCCAAACCACAGTAGGGGCCTCATATAATAATAAATAAAAGTGATCATTAAGAAATTGAGAAGTAAATGTAAAAGGGAAAGACTTTCCCATAGTCCCAGTGCCCAATGGGGCTAGGTTAGCAAACTGAAGTTTTTTTCTTTCTCAGTATAGAGAAAGCTGAGAATAAGAAGTCACCACTTCAGTCTCAGCAGTGTTCCAGTGGCTGTTTCTCATAGAAATTATTCTTTGAACAAATGTCCAGTGTTGGTGTTGTAGTTACTATGGGCCTTGATATAAACTAAAAGGATGTAAGTCTACAGTGGTCCCTCGCTTATTGCAGAGGTTATGTTCCAGACACCCCTGTGATAAGTGAAAATCACCAAAGTAGCAACATTATATTTTATTTATTTATTTATGTTTTTATTTACTTATTTATTTTGGTGGTACCAGTGGTCAAACTTAGGACCTTGCACTTGCCAGGCAAGCACTTATTCCACTGAGCTGTGTCCCTGGCACATATATGTATATATCCCCCAAGCGCTGGGATACAAGCACGTGCCACTATGACCAGTCTGAATCACTGTCTCAGTGTGCCCTGGGGGTGGGACCACCATGGCATGCCAGGGATCAAACCCCAGACACTGCACTCTGCCTGAGCAAGTGCTTTAGTCTGCTAAGCTATCTGGCCAGCCCCCCACACTTTTAAAAACACTTCTAATGTTCTTTTTTTTTTTTTAAGTTTTTATTTATTTATGTGTGTGTGTGTGGACAGCTCAGCCCACCAGGAGGCGGGGCTGGCTGGCATGTGTGTGGTGCTGGGGGATTGAACCACAGTCCCTGTGCTTTCACTTAGCTTGTTCCAAGGAGGTGCTTTAGACCACTGAGCCATCTCACCAGCCCACTTCTAATGTTCTTAACCATTTTCTAAACTCGTAAAACTATGTAATTTTAACTACTACATATACTGTATGGTACAGTATGTATTCATCTGCTAAAGAAATTCATACTCTTAACAGTGTATTTTGATTTAATATTCTTTTGATGTTAGAATTAACATTTTAAATATGTTTTTATATATTTAATTTTTTTAGGCCAAAAACATTAAAACAAATATGATGACAGGGACCACAGTTCGATCCCGGCACCACATGCTGTGCCAGCCCCACTTCCAGGGCCACAGAGTATGGGTGTGGTGACACATGTCTGTAATCTCAGTGCTGGGGAGACTAAAAATAGGAGGATCACTATGAGTCTGAGCTGCGTAGTGAGAGTGAGACCCTGTAACAACCAAATACATTAAAAAATAAAATAAAAATAAATATGAGGGATATAAATATGTATATAGAACTTTACTGCAGAATCTCATGATATAGTGAAAAATCCCCCATAAATAATTTAGATTAATTTTTTTGAAAACACGTGAAACGGGCTGGGGAGATGGCTCAGTGGAATATGTGCTTCCCTAGCAAGCACAAGGGTCTAAGTTCAATCCCCAGGTCCGGAAAAAAAAAAAAAAAGTCTGAAAACACGTGAAACAGTCCACAAATAAAGAACCACAGAATAGCAAGAGACTACTGGAATTGTTCCACAGATGTATAATTAGGAAAAAAATATTTTTTGATGACCATGCATCTTTTAAGCCCTCCCTAGGTGACATTTCAGTGAAGGTTACCATAAAGAATGACCACATCCAAATAATAATAATCTTTCTTTTGATCTCATGCAGTCTGCTACACCTACAATGGGAAACACAGACTTCTGGAAAACACTCCGATATTTAGGTTTACTATACCCTTCTCAAGGAGTCCGGAATGTCCTTCTCATATCTGACGGCCACCTCCAGGATGAAAGCCTGACACTGAAACTTGTGAAGAGAAATATCTTCCATACCAGGCTGTTCACCTGTGGGATCAGGTAAGTCAGAGGTCTGTCACCCACCCAGTGAAGAGACCATATGGCGGTGGAGATTTCTCTCTGTCTGTCTTTCTCTCTCTTGCTCTCGTTGTCTTGCTCTCTCTCTCTTTCTCTCTCTCTCTCACTGTCTCATTTTTTTTTTTGTTTGTTTGTTTGTTTTGAGGCAGCTTTCCATTTTGCACTTCAGGCTGGCCTTGAATTCACCATGTAGCCCAAGCTGGCCTCTAACTTAGCAATCCTCTTGCCTTAGTTTCCTGAGCACCTATAGGTATGTACTACTATGCTTGGTTTGGGCAGGTCTTGCATTTGACCTGCACAGGAATTTTGGAACTTGAGAAGCTGATGTGAATGTATAATAGAAGCCATTATCATGGAGAGGCTGAGCTCTGGGCCCTGGGCCAGACTGGTTGGGTTTCAGAGCCCAGTAGCCACTCATTTTGTTAGCTATGACCTTGGGTAAATTGTTCAACCTCTTCTCTGTGAAATGAAGGTGAATTTGAACATACCTGTTAGGTTTTAGGAGTGATGCTGAAACTACGGCATGGGTGTTACTTGATTTTCTTTTAAGACAGAAGAATGTTAAAGTATGAGTTAAGTTCTCTAAAAAAACCCCTGTTTTTCAGGTTTAATTGCAGAGTTGGCACTTTGCAATAAATGAGTTTGGCACCCAGTCTCTAAAAGGCTTGCCATCTCTGGGTTATAAGATTGCTGAAGGTTATTATTTTGCATAACTGTCAAATGTAGAGCTCATTTGCACATCCTGGTGTAGCTCCTGCTGACTGCTAGACTCAGTGGAGTCCGCACTCCTCTCCCCTGCCTTGTTTCCTGTTGTCGCTGAGCTGGCCCCTGTGAGCATTTGCATTTTCAAACCTGACAGTGTGTATAGAATATGGAAGCTAAGACTCCAGGACTGTTGGAATTACTGCCTTCCCAAAAGGCATCCAGATAAGGGAAACAAAAAGTAGATGGGGATTCCTAGCTTTTGTGCAGAGCTTCCAGCCCAGCAGGTTTTTCTCTGTGGGGATCTAGTGCTGTCTGTCAGTGAGCCCTGACCACCAACCACCTGGTGCTCCCAGGAGCCTGCCCTCCTCCCAAGCACTGGTCTTCTGTGGTTCTGGATGCCATGCAGTCCCACCCTCTTGTCCTCCTCACATGGCTGCCTTCCCCTAGGCCACTCATTATTCTCAGCTTCTAGTCTGGCCCTCCATAACCCAAGGCCTAACCAAGCATCACAGGCTGATCAAGCATTCATCTAGTCAGTGTGGACTCCACCAGCACTCACCTGGGGACTTTGCTGCTGAGCTTGCAGCAGCACACCTGTCCCTGCCTTCCTTGCTGAAGGCCCTTCCAGGAACAGAGTGGGTCTCACTAAGTCACCAAATGACCAGCCTGGATCCATCTTATAATCAATCCTTCTGCCACAGCCATCCTAAAAGACAAGTGTATGCCACCAAACCAGGATAGGAGTTCTTATATGTAGCTATCGAACTATTATTAAGAAAAACTTAGACATTACCTTTTAAATGTCAAAGATGAAAAGCATGTTATTCTTTGCTGGTGTAAGAGTTAGTTGGCTTTTTGTTTGTTTGGGGGAAGGTCTTATTGTATTGCTTAGGCTGGTCAAAAACTCCTAGTTCAGCCAGGTGTGGTGATGCATGCCTGTATTCCTAGCACTTGGGAACTGAGGTAAGAGGATTGCTGAAAGTTGGAGGCCAGCCTGAACTGTATAGTGAGATACTTCTCAAAAAACAAAAACAAACACAAAAATTTCTGGTTCAAGTGACTCTCCTAGCTTAGCTTCCTCCACAGCTGGAGCTGCAAATGGGCTAGAGATGTAGCCAGGCTAAGAGTTCTTTCTTTATAGCTTTTGCTGTGGAGATGTATGTCAAATTTTAAGATGTGAATTTCATTTACTCTTGCCAGTTGTTGGCTTTTGACACCAAATGCAGGTAATTTTGATATTCATCGAGACTGGATTGATATCTTCCGCAAGAATCATTCCAGTACCTTTATGGGTTGTTTGTTTTTAAATATTACAGCTTGCTTGCTTGCTTGATTGATTGATTGATTGTACTGGGGATAAAGGCTAGGGGCTCACACATGCCAGGCAAGCTTTGTATCTCCCATCCCCAGCCCTAATTTATCTCTAACCTCAGCTACAGAGCAGTAAATCTTTCTTCATGTAATTCTCTTCTGTTAAGCTATGTGTTTTCTTATCATTGTTAACATATACTTCAAAAATGTCTCTAAAATGTCCTTTAATTAAAACTTGCAAAATGTGATCAGTCCTACAGCCAATCGTCATGTCTTAAGGAATTTGTCTCATTATGGTGCTGGAGTATTTGAATATTTTAACTCAAAATCCAAACACAGCTGGAAAAAACAGGTATGTTTTTAAACATCTTTAGTCCTATGTTTACAATGGAAGTATTATCTTCTTATAAGCCTGACAATAACAGAAAAACTATTCAAATGCAAAATCTAACAAAGATAGGAACCCAACCCTTGGGTTGTGCTAATTTGAAGCTATCTAGAACACAGTGGTTAATCAACTAATAGTCTTATTTCTGCTTATAATGACATGTCATGCGTTTTTTGTTTTTTGTTTTTTTTTTTTTTACCCTTCTAAACATTTTTAATTTTTGATGCAGTCTCTCCATATCCCTAAATTCTGTAAGTGGGCTTAAACTTGTGATCTTTCTCCTTCATCTTCCCAGAACACTGAAATTATGAGCACATGCCATCCTGATAACTTATAAATTGACTTTTTTATATGAAGTATATCAGCCTTTTTATCTGTGGATTCTACATCCACAAATGAAAAATATTTTTTATTTATGTCTGTTCTAAGCATATCCATTTTAATTGATATAATTCCCTAGATAACTTGACAGCTGTTTACATAGCATTTACTTGGTATTATGTATCATAAATAGTATAACGATTATTAAAAGTATGATGCACGTTCGAAGATTCTCACATATACAGCACCTCTTTTGATAAGAACTTGAGCATCTTCAGATTTGCTGTCTGAAGGATCCTGGAACCTGTCCCCTGCAGATACTGAGGAAGGGCTCTATACTGTTTTGGGATTCAGTTTTTGTTTTAGCAAAAAATATAACTCTACCATTTTAACTTTTCCTTTTTAGCTGGGGTAAAAGCCAGGGGCTTGGCCATGCTAACAAGTGCTCTACTACTGAGCTACATCTCTAGCCCTTCAGCCATTTCTTCAATGTGTAGTTCAGCAGTGTAGAGCTCACTCAAGTGCTCTACTTCTGAGTTCATCTGCCTCTCACAGGATGTTGTGGATTAACATTTACCCTACTTTCCAATCTGTTCTGACTGTTCCCTTTTTTATAGCTTTGTTTTTCTCAATGGGTTTTATAGTTCACTGCAGGGGAAGGAGTGAAGTTGTGAGTTCATCTACAGTTTAAATGAACTTAGTGACTTATGTTAAAATGGAGTCACAGAAAATAGAGTATTGCCTCATCATTCAGACAGTAACCCTACATCTTGCTATAACCTGCATTTTCTGTTCCATCTCTGTGAATTTGCCTGCTGACTGTCTCATATATAAAAACTTAAAGTGTTTGTCCCTTTGAAGATCACATTTTTACCCATTCATCCATCAGTGGGCCTTTGTGTTCTCGTGAATGATTTTACTGGGAGCATTAGCATCCAAGTGTCCCTTAAGCTCCTGTGTTCAATTCTGGGTATGTACCCACAGGTGAAATTGCCGGATAGTATTGTAACTGTTTAATTTTTGCTGATAGGATTAATTTTTATAACCGGAATTTACTTTTATCAAAGTTGCATATTAGTAACAAGCTAATGTACTAATAGAATATTTTTCAAATTTTCCATCTTTTTTTTTCTTTTTGGCTCTTTTTGAGACAGTATCTTACCATGTAGCCCACTCTGCTGTCGAAATGACAGTGGTTTTCCTGCCTCAGCCTCCTGAGTGCTAGGATTATAATAGCCATCATACCAGGCTTTTCAAAGATGCTTTACAAATTTATGATATGGTTGTACTATTAATAAATATTCTATTAAAATCTCTTTGGGAAATTCTCCTATAACGGGAAGAAAGGGGAAAAAATAAAGAAACAACAACCGAGCTAGAAACCCCCAAAAGATAGATAGTAATTTTCAGTGTAAATTCATTTGTTTTTTGTGTGGTACTGGGGATTGAACCCATCACTTTCATACTGAGGTATGTCCCCATTGCCCCCCTTTTCAATTGTTTGAGACAGGGTGTCACTAAGTTGCTAAATGGCCTAAGCTGGGCTTGAAATTGTAATTCTTCTGCCTCAGCTTCCCAGACTGAAAGGATCATAGTCATGTACTACCATGCCCAGCTAAATTACTGGTTTTTTTAGATGTAATATTAAACAAGAAATAACTCATGTTTTATTAACAGATAGAAGACCAAATGAACAGGTTATGTTCCCCAAGTTGCCACTCTGTCTCCATCAAATGGCAGCAACTTAGTGCCAATGTACAGGAGCCCCTGCAGGCCCCAGCCCAGGTTCCATCCTTGTTCCACAATGACCGACTCCTTGTGTATGGAATGATTTCTCACTGCACACAGGTAAGAGGATGCACTGTGTGTTATGTTGTGGGAATAATAAGGTATCTTGCTTACGTTCTTGTTTCTTTTTTCCCCTCCCTCTGGCTGGCAATCTTCTTTCTGGAAATGTAGTTTGGGAGGTTTCTAGTGTCTATTGACAGAGAATAGCTAAGCTGTCATTGAAAGACTCACTTAGACACTGTATAGTACAGAAGCTAATAAGGAACTTCTGTTTTTCCACTTCAGGCATCTCTTTGTGCAGTAATCCAAAAGAAGGAATTTTGTTCAATGGTGTCAACTACTGAGCTTCAGAAGACAACTGGAACTGTAAGGTTCAAATATAAACTGTGGCGCTGGAGTGTAGCTCATTGGTAGTGTGCTGGCCTTGCATCGCAAGGTGCTGGGTTCATTTCCCAGCACTGACAAAGTAAAAGAATGAAAGTTGTGATTTTACATTTACACATCCAAGGTCCCTGTCATTCCCTTGTCACTATATTGTGTGGATACATGAGCACCCCCATGGGGGGTGGTCATCTGTGCCAATGGAACACACCCTCCAGGTGTGTACCTTCGAGCCTCTTTTCTGAGCACTTTGATCTGGTTGTGTCCCTGTGGGCATCAGTGGATGTGCATTGCAGTTAGAATGCAATATGGGATTTTATCCTTGTGACTTAAAAAAAGACTAAGTGTCACTGATCCCTCATGTACTTGAAAGTATTAATTATAATAACAATATTGGGTGAAGAGTAAACCACAGTGTATTGAATATATTTTTTTGCATTTTTGCATTATGAAAGAAAAACTATCTCCTGTGTTCTCACAACACTTCCATCTTCGGATGTGTTATCTTGCAACCTGCTCTTCTGACTCTAGCTGCCCAAAGTTAGCACAGATTCCACAGGGAAAGGTCTCAGACCTATAAGGCTGGCCCAAAGCCGTGGCAATACCAGTGGTAAGCAGCATGTCCTCAGTTTTACCACATTTCTGCCAGAGTTGGGAACAAGTTTCAGGTTCCCTGAATCTTTCCTCAGGTTCAGTAATTTGTTATAACATTTCTCAGAATTCAGGAAAATAATTTACTTACTGTAATAGTAGTATTGCTCTCAAAGACAATATTATAACAATTTAAAGATCTTAATTGGCTTTATTTGCTTTCCTGGGATCAGGCAACATTTCATTTCATAGAATAGAATACATGTTCCAGTGGACTGAAAAGAAGAGATTAGAGGGCTGGCCAAATAGCTTAGCAGATTAAAGCACCGGTAAGCAGGTGTAGGGGCCCGGGGTTCAATCCCCTGGCCCACCATGCTGGCCCCACCCCCAGGGCGCCCTGAGGTGACAATTGACACTGAGTGTGGAGGTGGGTGCCTATAATCCCAGCTCTCGGGAGGCTATAGACAAGTGGATCGCTATGAGTCTGATCTAGTAGTGAGACCCCGAACGCCCTGTAGACCCTTCCCTAAAATAAAAAAAAAAAATAAAGAGATTAGTCTTATAGACTGAAAAAGGCTGAAAAAAGCATAAAAAAGCATAATGTGTATTTCAAGGTTATTTTCCGGGCCAGAGTGTAGCTTGGTGGTACAGTGTTGCTTAGTTTACTTTTTGTGTGTAAGAATGGAAAACAGGGAACTCATAATGATTGTAACTGGCCTAGATGTGGAACTGGACTGTTTTTCTCTCATTTCATTTTGTTTCTTGGAAGGTCAGGTAACACCATTTTCATTTTTCATCAGGTCCCTTTGGGCTGGGTACAAGAAGTCTCATCAAAACAGTGGGTTCTTGCAAATTTTGAGAGTACCTTGGAGAAATTGATATATTTCCTTAAAAAAATAGTTCTAGTGAGAAAATATGGTAAAAGAATTGCATTGGGACTGTGTCTCCGTCCTTAAAATTGCAGTCTTTAAAAACTTTAGTCAGTGAATAGGTTTGTCAATGATGGAATCGGAAGAGTTGAAGATCCTGAGAACAGACATAGCATTTGGTTGTGAGATCAGTTCAGTGTCATTGTGAACGTCCCCTGTGTGGCTCCCAGGGGGGTTTATGTGTGGGTGGACATCCTGCCACGGGACTGGCTCTTGCTGAAGAAGAAGAAGAAGAGCAGTTTTAAAGTTCTTAAGCGAATGGCATAATTGTTTTGTGCAGAAAAAGTAAAGCACCAGGAACAGAAAACAAATGAATGTGGCCAGGCTAGAATGTGGCCAGGCTAGAATGTGGCCAGGCTGTGAGGATGCAAAGGGCTGCAGGGGACATCTCAGAGTGAAGATGAGCCAGACCATTGATTTGGTGTTGGCAACACAGTTTTGTACAATCTATACACTCACTGCACTATATACTTTAAAAGAGTAAGTTCACTATACCTAAATTAGTATAGTTCAGATTTTAAAGGTCATCTTTCTAAGTTGCTAATTAGGAGACATTGAAATCTCTTTTTCCTTCATTACTTAAATATAGGTGATTCACAAACTGGCAGCAAGAGCACTAATCCGAGATTTTGAAGATGGCATTCTCCATGAAGATGAAGCCAACCATGAGGTCTGTTCTTGTTTTAATGGAAAGGTTAAGTAAGGATAACTGGGTAGAGAGGAGCGTGGCATCAGGCATTCATCACTGTGCTTGTGACTTTGACTGTTTCTCTGTGAGTTAATGAAAGAACTAGTTCGGTAGTCTCCTAAGAATTCTTTTTTGTTGGCTTTTTTATTTTTATTTTTTATTTTAAGATAGGGTCTTACTCTGTAGTTCAGGCTAGCCTTGAGCTCACTTTGAAGCCCAGGCTGGCCTCAAACTCACAGTAATCTTCCTACCATAGCCTCCCAAGTGCTGGGATTACAGCCATGTGCTACTATGTTATAGACAGACTTGCTATAAATAAACACCTTTTAGATTGTTTGATATGCGTTTAGTTAATTATAACAGCTAAATAGAGATGAACGAAACAACACATGGTTTCATTTGTTCTATTCTAGATGAAGAAACAAATTATGAAATCTCTGATTATTAAACTCAGTAAAGAAAACTCTCTTATAACACAGTTTACAAGCTTTGTGGCAGTTGAGAAAAGGGTACGTATTGTTAATTCAAAGTTAAGCTCTTTGTGTTTATACATTAAGAAAGTCACTCTTGGGGCTGGGGAGATAACTCAGTAGAATAAGTGCTTGCCTGGCAAGCACAAGGGCCTGAGTTCAATACCTGGTTCTGAAAAAAAAAAAAAAAAAAAAAAAAAAAGAAAAGAAAGTCACTCTTGCTGTACTCTTTGATGATATATCCCAGGCTAGCCTATGAAAATGAGGGTAGTTAGAGGATCACAGGCTTCAAGAGCCAGTATTTGCTATCTGCAAGTGGCTTTCCTTCTAGGACTTAAGATAATTTCTACTACATGAATTGCATATGTTAGCCTTTTTTTTTTTTTTTTTTTACGACAGTCTTGCTATGTAACTCAGGCTAGGCTAGAACTCACTGTCTAGCCTCAGCTGGCCTTGAACTCACAGAAATCCTTCTGCATTAGTGTCCTGAGTGCTAGGATTAGAGGCATGCCCACCACACCAAGCTAGCTTTTTAATATTTTGGTTATTATTTAGCTACATGTATGTTGTAGTCAATGTTTGCAAAGGAAACAATTTAATTCAGGGATTATAATTTATAGGATTATTTTTTGGTAGTCACCCTAAGAGTCAAGTACAAAAGAGTGCAGAAAATCCATCCACACATTAAAGATTCAAAGAATCCAGTTGAGGACCTGAATGCCAAGACTGTGTCCTGCACAAGTCCAGCTGAAGACCTAGAGCCCATGATAATGCCCCACATGATTCCAACTAGAGGCCTAGAGCTCTTGATAATGCCTCATACAAGACTGTATCAAGTATCTTGGCTGGGGAGACCCAGAGGTCAGTGGTGGAAGCTAGAAAGTCTGTGCCAGTGGGACAAAGGAGCTCCTTTAGTAATGAGCACAGCCAAGTTCATATCAGGAAAGCCAGTATGGCAAGCTACTCCAGGAGAACCAACAGCCCCCAGACAGCACCTCTCTTCTTGTCCAGTTCTCCTTTTTATTTTGTTGGCAACAGTCCTCAGTTGAGCCTTCTACATACAGCACGACCCCAATTCAGTTCAGCTGTGTGTTACAAGTTGCCCACTAGTTGTCAGTCTACCACAATGTGTATTTTAGATGTATTCCTTTTTTTGGTTACAGTTTTGGTATTTGTCATTTTTTATTCATCCAAGATCCTCAAAAAGTAGAGCCAGGGGTTTCTCTGTCCACAGAAGACCCTTTCCCTTCATAAATTTGATTACTTAACACAGCTCTGAGTGAGCATTTCCTAAAGTACTCTGCCTGCTCCTTATTTGCACAGCTGTGGCAGGGACATATGATTGTATCTTATACTCCAAGTTGGGCAGTTTTCCATCACTGTAACAAAATACCTAAGAGAAACAAAAGGGGAAAAGTTTGTTTTGGCACATAGTTTCCAATCTTTCTATCTGTGGTTGCTTGGCCTTCTCACCCTGGGCCTTGGACAGAGCAGCACATCACAGCAGAGAGCCTGTGGTGGAACCGAGCAGTGGCTCTGCAGGTGACCAGGGAAAGGACACATGCTGGTGAGCTTCCCCCTTCTGCTTTGGTTCCATCAGGGACCACAACCTATTGAGTGGTGCTGCCCACATCCAAGGCAAGGTTCCATGGCCTACTGTCCCATGTGGCAATAGTCTCTCGAAGTCCCTCTCAGATACTCCAAGTGTACTTCACTAATTTCCTAGGAATCTCAATCCAGTCAGGTTGGCAGTAGAATTTAACCATCACATACCCAAGCACTCCAAACCTAGCTTCTAGGAGGCTTAGAATGTGTGATAATGATTTATTAATGCCTTTTTCTTTAACAAAATCTTGATTTAATACAGGATGATAATGAGTTACCTTGTCCTAATATTCCAAATGTTTTGGAATTGATTGACAAAGAGGATGTAGACTTTCTGTCATACATGAATTGGCAGGAGGAGCACGGAGGGGCCAACATGATACAGGTAAACATGTTGTTACCAAATACAGGCATGCATTGATGTTTGAGAGGTACATCAGGTGACTTTGTGGTTGTGCACATATCCTAGAGCATAGCCATGGAAACCTAGAAGGCACAGCTGTCCCTGGAGACAACCTTTAAGTGCTGTCAGGAGACATAGCAGGCATTGAGCTGGGCAAGGCTGCTGCTGGCAGACTGTGTGCAGTTACCTTTACATTGATGGACTGATTGATTGGGGGTTGAACCAAGTGTCTTCTCACTGAGCTACATCGTCAGCCTTCATGTTATTTCTTATTTCTAGATAGGGTCTCCCTAAGGCACTGACTTGCACAGTCTAGACTTTATGTTTTCATCCTTCAGCCTCAACCTCCCAGGGTACTGGGATTACAAGTGTGCCCCACCCTGCTCAGCTATTTTTTATTATTAAATAAGTGGAAGTACAGTCTAAAATATTGATATAAAAGGGCTAGGGAAACAACTCAGTGGCAGACCACTTGCTTGGCATTCCTTGGGTCTAGAAAGTCATCCTCAGTACTGTAAAAAAATGATTAAAAAGTATAGAAAATACATAAAGCAGCAGCATAATAATTTATTATCATTATCAAGCATTATGTACTCGGTTTTTTTTTGTTTTTTGTTTTTTTTTTTCCCTTTCTGGCAGTAGTAAGGATTCATGCTGAACTACAATTTTCCAGGGGTTTATTTTCAAACACGGCCAGTCTGAGCTTGAATTTGTGATCTTCATGCTTCATCCTCCCAGAGTTCTGGGATTCCAGATGTGTTCCCCTGCAGCTGGCACATGCTGTACTTTTATACAACAGCAGCAGCCTAGGTTGGTTGATGCCAGCATCAGTATAAACACATTGCTGATGCTTTGCACGCTGGCATGTGACGGCCACAGCATTGCTGGGCATGAGAATTCCCCAGCTCTGTTTTAGTCTCCAGTCCCCATTGGTCTGAGTGTGGCTCATTGCTGACTGAAGCTGCCTGTGTAGTGTGTGGTGTGTGACTGTAAACTGATACTACGCTGTTCTCATAGTGCTCTGATGGTGTGGGCAACCCTTTGCTAAAGAAGTCTCTTCACTGCCTTTATATGAAAATATCTCTTTGGTTATGGAAAATATTCACATATTTATAAAATGCTATTAGATTACTAAATCAGTCACCTTGTATAAATCAGACAACATGGTGCCACAAAGTTTTCCCAAAAAACAACTGTGATCATGCTTCATTCAGGGATAAACTGTCATCTAGGAAACTAGTCATTAGGTAATACAAGCAGTGAAATGAGATTTGTGATAAAAGTCCCAAGTACATAATTAAAACTCACCACTAATACTTCTTAAAACTTACAATACTAGTTTGTAATAGTATAAGCAATAGTTTGTAATAGTATAACCAATACTGTGGTGCTTATGACCAAAAACCTGATAGAAATTGAGAAATTTGATTTAAATAAAAATTGGATGGTAGCTGGGCATAGTGGCACAGACTTGTAATCTTAATACTCTGGGAGACAGAGGCAGGATAATTGCAAGTTTGATCTCAGTCTGGGCGACTTGGCAATTTAGCAAGACCCTGTTCTCCTATTTAAAAAATAGTTGTGGATGAAGCTTATTATGAAAGCCCTAGGTTCAATCTGAGTACCACTAAAAAAAAAACACATGTCATGCCAATATTACAAATTCTTCAGATCTTAGTGCTTCCAAAATGAAATATGTCAGATGAAAAATATTATCAATTAACCTGAGTTGGTAGTTTATCTTGAGTTTAATAATACATTTTCTCAATGAACATCTAATTTAGCAAAAATATTAAGGCTTCACCCTTAGGATATATTTCATTACCAAAATATGGCACATGCAGAATTCCATCTGAAGTTAATTCAGCTGAGTTCAGTGACAGGAGCTGCAAGAAAGTCTGGAGAGAATGCTGCAGATCCTGGGCCTTTTGTTTGCATGGCCTGCTGGGTGCTGGAGGAATTGGGTTTGTTCAGTGAGTCCTTCCGTGGCACTCAGCACCACTTATGTTAGGACACTCAGGGCTGACGCTCATCTCTCCTATGGGCAGCCCAGGCTATGATCAATGCATCCTCCAAAGTACCCTGTGACCTCTCTGTCTAATAAAAATAAGTTAAGAGCAGGGAAGCAGGTGGTTGTGTAGCTTGGGAGCAGAAAGTTCATAAGGTATTGTTTTCCATCTCAGCACTAAGAGGGAAAAAATAAAGTGAGAGGCAGAGATTTTATACAAATAGCTTTTAAGCTAATTTTTTAAAATTATTATTATTTTTAGTATAGGGTCTGCAGGATCTCACTACACAGATCAGACTTATAGTGATCCTCTTGTTTTCAGCCTCCCCAGCACTGGGATTATAGGCGTGTGCCACCATGTCTGGTCTAGGTGGCCAGCTCAGTACACCCAGAGATGAGGCTGACATGACCTGTTGTGCCAGGGATCCCCAGTTCCTGTGCTTGCCTAAGCAGGCCCTTAGTGTGCTGAGCTATCTCACTGGTCCTCTAGCACTGTTTATTGAACAGTTCTTCCATTGACTTGAAATGTCATCTCCATCATTTACTAAAGTCCTGAATGTTTAATTTAGGAACTGTTACTGCACTGTCTACTCTGTTATATTGATTTGTTATAATTACTATAATTTAAAGTTACTATAATTTTAAATTACTATAATTTTAATATCTTAAGCCCTAAATCATTGGCCTTTTTAGTTTGATTTTGTCATTAGAACATTTTTAGGGGGAGGGGTATAGTTCACTGGTAGAGTGTTTGACTAAACGATATGGGTTCTGGCTGCATAAGAAAGAGAAAAGAAGGAAGGGAAGGAATGATGAAGGAAAGATAGAGAGAAGGAGGGAGGGAAAAGAGAGAAAAGAAAATTTAACTAGATAAACAATTAGTTTATGTTATTGTTTTGTGTGTGTGTAGCGCTGAGGATAAAGTCTAGAGCCTCACACATGCTGAGCAAATGCTCTACCACTGAGCTACATTCTTTTAAATTTTCTGTTTTGAGACAGATTCTAAGTTACCTGACTGGATTTGAAGGTG